ACGCGATGATGGACATGGGACGACTTGAGGGCGCCCTCCGTGACGATCTCAACAAACGCGCCCCGCGCCGCATGGCCGTGCTTGATCCGATCAAGCTGGTCATCACCAACTGGGGTGACGGCGGAGATGAATCACGCGTCGAGATGATGGACGTCATCAACAACCCTGAGGACGACTTTGCAGGAACTCGCCAAGTCCCGTTCGGGAAAGAGCTCTGGATCGAGCGTGAGGACTTCATGATCGATCCTCCCAAGAAGTTCTTCCGTTTGGGACCAGGTCGCGAGGTCCGTCTCCGCTGCGGATACTGGGTCAAGTGCCACGACTACACGCAGGACAGCGAAGGCAACATCACCGAGATCCACTGCACCTACGACCCAAACACGCGAGGCGGGAACAACCCGCCCGCAGACGAAGAGGGCAATGTCCGCAAAGTCAAAGGCACGCTCCACTGGGTCTACGCCGGGGATTGCGTTGATGCGGAGATTCGTCTCTTCGATCGATTGTACAAAGCCGAGAAGCCGGGCAAAGCGACGGGCAACCACCTCGACGATCTCAACGAGCACTCGCTGGAGATCAGTAACCGCGCCAAGGTCGAGCGATCACTGCTCAATAAAACACCCGACGAGCCCGAGTGGAGCGACGGCATCCGTCGCTTCCAGTTCGAACGCACCGGGTATTTCTGCATCGACCGCGAGTCCAGCGACGACAAGCTCGTCTTCAACCGGACCGCGACCCTGCGGGATTCATGGGCAAAGCAGCGCTAAGCGAATCTACGATTAGCCGACATCCGTCCATCGCTCGCGAGGGAGCGATTCGTACATGATGTTGACGATCGACCATTCCCCATTCACGCGCATGAGCTGGAAGTAATCGAACCATACCGAGCCGGTCATCTTCGCGATCGCGACATTGTCGCGGATCTCGTAGACCTCGACTTCACAGCGTGCCGTCTCTGGATCAAACCCCCAGTGCTTGTTGAAGGTCTCTCCGAGGATCTCGATCTCTTCCCAAGTGATGAGCTTGAAGAACTCGAAGTCCACATTGTCAGGTTTCTCAACCGTGCGCTTTGAGAGTGTCGGATGGCAGGTGTCCTGTACTTTCTTCCCATCGATCTCATAGAACCCAATGCAATAGTCGCGGACGATCTTCTCGATTGTTTTCATGTCTTTCGTGGATTTCCCAGGCGCTCTGGCACCCGCTTCATCAAGGATGATCACTGCGGAATCCGCGATGAGCCAGCGTCCCTCGAAGTGCACGAGGTGCATGAAGTCCACCACATCTTCCATGATCACTCGAGCCGCGGCGGTCTGCTGCTCGATGTCAAAGACCTCGATCTCGCATCGCCCTTCTTTGGGGGAGTCAATCCTGTTTTGGTTGAGTTCAGTGCCGTAGTACTGGAGCTGGTCGTGCGAGTAGGTTCGCACCCATTCCTGGCTGGGTTGTCCCCAGTAGGTATCGAAAACCACGCGCCGAGCGAGATCGTGATGCGCCCGCGAGCGGACCGTTTCTTCGTCCCCAGCGTACTTCGCGAAGACATACTCCTGAATCGCCGAGTACACCGCGTCCTCGTTGACAGGTTCAGCTTCGAAACTCAGCGTTTCGACCAACTCAGTCTCACTCTCCGCAGCGTATGTCAGCGATGCAGAGCCAACAGCCAATGCGATAACAGCCGGAACGACCGGCGACAGTCCAAACACTTTCTTCATTGTTTTGTCCTCCTGTGTGTGCGACATTTGTACTGCCGTCAATACCACAGGTTGCAGCGAACCTATACTTGCCCATGAGTTTGATTGTCACTGGAACCATCGGGATCGACACCGTCGAAACACCAGAAGCCGGACGCCGCGAGGAACTCCTCGGCGGCTCCGCGGTGTACTTCTGTGCCGCATCGTCTTTCTACACCAAGCCCCGTCTCGTTGCTGTCGTCGGAGACGATTTCCCCGAGCCCTTCATGGACACGCTCAAGTCCTTCGATGCCGTGGACCTGACAGGTCTCGAAGTCCGCAAGGGGTCCAAGACCTTCCGCTGGGGTGGCAAGTACCACGACGACATGGACCACCGCGACACGCTGTTCACCGAACTCGGCGTCCTCGAAGAAGCACCGCCGGTCGTCCCCGAGTCATTCAAAGACTCGAAAGTCGTCTTCCTCGCAAACTCCCATCCGATGGTCCAGCTCGGGATGCTCGAGCAGCTCGATAGCCTCGACCTCTCCGTCGTGGACACGATGGACCTCTGGATCGACATCGCCAAACCCGAACTCACCAACCTGCTCGGGAAGGTCGATGGACTCGTGCTCAACTTCGACGAAGCGGAGCAGTACACCGGACACCGCAACCCAGTCGCGGCAGGCAAGCACCTGCTCGAACTCGGACCACGCTTCGTCGTGATCAAGAAAGGCGAGCACGGCTGCATCCTCGTCCACCGCGACGGACTCTGCGCCCTCCCAGCGTACCCAACCGAGCACGTCGTCGATCCAACAGGAGCCGGTGATTCTTTCGCCGGCGGATTGATGGGACGCCTCGCATCCCGAGGCGGACACGACCTCGGATCATTCGAATCCGTCCGCGACGCGCTCGCGCACGGCACCATCATCGCGTCCTTCAACGTCGAGTCCTTCTCGCTCGAACGCATGCAGTCGATCACCCGCAAGGATGTCCACGACCGCTACGACCAGTACGCCGCGATGATGCGATTCAGTGAATAAGTCCGTCCGATAGAGGGTTCTGAGTGATACATGAGAGGACCCCGATGACAAATGATTCTTCCTATCTCGATCCATACCGCGACGCCGTCGCGGATATGGGCCCCGGATTCGAGGCCCAGCTCTGGCTCTCCAAAGAAGCCCAAGCGACCCGCTTCTCCGTGATCGCAGACGCACTCGGAAACGATTCAAGCATCATCGCCGACCTCGGATGCGGACAGGGAGACCTGCTCGTGTACCTGCACGAGCACAACGCGATCCCCAAGCACTTCATCGGCGTCGAAGGCGTCGACGAGATGACCCACCACGCGCAGCAGCGGATCGATCAGCTCGGCATCAACAACGCCGTCTTTCAGACACACGATTTTGTCGCAGACACCAAGCTCCCATCCCAGCTTGTGCAAGACGCGAAGGTCGATACCTTCATCTTCTCCGGATCACTCAACACGCTGCAGATGCAGCAAGCCCAAGCCGTGCTCGCGCGATTCTTCAACGCGCTCAAGGACGCGGGACGAGGAAAGCTCGTCTTCAACTTCCTCTCGAACCGTCACGACAAGGACCGCACCCCCGCACAGCCACCCGCCGTGCGTTTCGATCCCCCATCAATGCTCGATTGGGCGCTCGAGCAGACCCCGCTCGTCACGCTCCGCCATGAGTACCTCAGGGGCCACGATGTGACGATCACAATGAATGTTGGCTAAACGGATCAGCAATCGCCGATCCGTATTGCATGAATATATCAATCTCCACCGCGGCCGCGCTTTCTGTCGGAATGTTCATCTCTGCTGCTCCCGCCGGGATGGGTCAACATCCCCGGGTTGAGGTGATTGAGTCTCCTCAAGATCTCACACTCTTTAATGCAGAGTTTTCGAGCGACGGGTCAACTGTTGCGATCACCGGCGAGTGGTCGCTTGCGTGGGATATCTATATTCATCGTGATAACCAGTGGAAGCTGGTGAGCCGATCGGTCGATGAGGTAGCGCCGGGTCCAATTGTCTTTGGTTTGTCAGACGACGGATCATCAGTAGTTATATCTGACTGGTCGTACACAAGCATTTACCAAGATGGTACCACAACATACTTGCCAAAGTGGTGGCGTGAGAGCGGTGGAGTCTCTGGACAGGGACGCACCTTCTTTTCAGGCGCCATATCTGGGGACGGCTCGGTGGTGGGGTACTCGCCTCAACCATATGACACGGAAGACAACCAGCCTGCGCTGATCTGGAATGGTGAGAGAGAACCTGAAATCATTCTCGCTGATCCAAATGAAGATGGTGTCAACTATGAGATCAACTCCCTCAGTTTCGATGGTTCGGTTGCAGCGATCAATGCTCGATACCAAAGCCAGCACAACAACATCCGAAGTCTCGGTTCGGCACGCGAAGCCTGGGTCGTCGATCAAGTTGAAATCATCATGATCCCGCCAATCGACACCGACTACGAAACACTCATGAGTGCGACGGAGATTTCCGGGAATGGACAAGCCGTGATCGGTTCCGCATACAGCGTATGGCGGGACGGGTTCGGAGAAGACATCCCGTTCAGCACCGAATCAAGACGGGATATCAACTATGGACCATCACTCGCATGGTTCTGGTCTCGCGATACAGGCACAGTCGAGATCCAGAATCCAGACCGATTCGACAGTATCAGTGTCTGGGATATCACCGATGATGCGAGCACCGTGCTCGGCATCGGCAGCTCAGGTGATGGCGAAGCATTTGAGCATTTCCTCTGGTACAGCGCGGACAATCAGTTTCTCATGATCGACGATCTCTTCAGCAGTCTTGGCATCGTGATCGATGCCGACTCGTACTACTTCGCGCAGATCTCAGGCGACGGCTCAAAGCTCATGGGAGTTCTCAATCGAGACGGAAAGAGCTCGGTGTTGATCGTCACGATCCCCGTTCGTTAATCCCGCCGTGAGTCTCAGATCCGCTGTTGATCGACAACCGTGCGATCGGTCACATGCTCGCCCGTGTGCTTGGTCTGCGCTGGTTCAAAGAGCAAGACCGATGTCCCCGGCGCTGCGACCGGATTATGCTCGACTCCTCGCGGGACGATGTACATCTCGCCGGGATTGAGCGTGACCTCACGATCGCGCATCTGCAGCGTCAGCGATCCCTCAAGCACCAGAAACAGCTCGTCCTCATCCGCGTGCGCGTGCCACATCAGCTCGCCTTCGAGTTTCGCGAGCTTGACCTGTTGCCCGTTGAGCTCGCCGATGATCTTGGGGGTCCACGTCTCGCTGAACAACCCCAGCTTCTCTTTGAGATTCACGACCTGATCACTCATGGTTTTACTCTTCCCAGATGTCCATGAACCGGTCCGAGCCCTGGTTGCGGATCGAGTTGTCTTCGAGGACTTCCTCAGTCGATTCAATCAGTTCCTCGGCATCAAAGATCAGGTTCTCCTGACTGCGATCAAAGAACTTGAAGATCAGCGTGTCCTCGTCGTTGTCACGCAGCAGCTCAACGAGGTGTGAGAGAGATTTGATCTCCTCGCCGTTGAGGCTCTTGAGTGTTGGATTACCGTAGACCTCGTAGCCCTTGGTGACCGAGTGGGGGAGGAAGGTTGCCGCGAGGACCACATACTCCTGCCCCTCAAACTCTCGCTCGTCGTTGATGTGCAATCCGACAGGAGAGCCGTCGACGATGCCGTATCCGAGATAGAGGTTGTAGAAATGCTCGCGTCGGACAGGTGTGAAGATCATCGGGCCACAGATGAAGTACTCCGGATAATCATTCCCGATATACGGCACAAGCTCGTCCCGCTCGTTGGTCACATGCAGATCAATCTCCATCGACTCCCCACCGCGGATAATCGTCACCGGAATCGTCCCTTCGCTGACAAGCTCGCGGATGAAGTAGCGCCAGTGCAGGCGCAAGCCGTCATGACTGGTCACCATCCCCGCGTTATCAATGTCGTACTCCCCGATCTTGTCGAGCAGGTCCCACTCCAGCATCGGAGACTCGGACTCAGACTTGGGACGCGTGAACACAATCCCAGTCTGCTCTCGGCTCAGTCCCAAGAACGAACGCAGCGCATCATTTTCGCACGTCTGGAAACGCGCGTCGTACAACCGCTCCGGTCCGTCGTAGCTGCCGTCCTCGATGTCCTTGAGGAAGATGTGGACCTCTTCTGCCGGGATCACATACCCGATGTTCTCCGCGTACTCGACGCCGCTGAAGACCACGCCGCAGACCTTGCCGTCAAGAATCACAGGCCCACCCGAGTTTCCATGATTGAGCGCCGCGTCCACCTGCACGCGGAGCCCCTGCGCTTCCATGTTGTAATCCGTGTACTCGATCCGCGAGACGACGCCCTCAGTAATCGAGACCTGCTCGCCCCCCATCGGATACCCGATCGCTTGGACAGTCGATCCGATCGAAGGAAGCGTGTCGCTGAGCTCAAGCACAGGATGCGCCGAGTGGAACTCTTCGCGTTCGGAGTCCTTCTTGATCTCGATGACCGCGAGGTCCATCTGCTGCGAGATCCCGATGACCTCCGCGCGGAGCTTGTCCGCGCTGTTGGGGGGCTGCACATAGATCCGCGTCGCTTGCTCAACAACATGCGCATTGGTGAGGATCCGATTGCCCTCGATCACAAACCCAGTCCCCGACAGCTCCTGAGGCGCTTGCTTGGTCCATGGACGAGCAAAGTCCGGACCGCGATATGTTGAGAAAATCTTGACCACTGATTCGCGAACAGCGGTTGAATCCTGCGACCCAATCGCTATGAAACTGCTCGCCATCAATATCCCTACCATCAACATCATTCGCATCGCTATCTCCTTGAACTCACAGTGCATCATCAAGAGATGCTACAGCGATCATAGTGCCTCCGTTTCAGTCCTTCTGAGATTGCTACCATCAGTGCAATGACCACCACGCTCAACATCCAAGCCCCAAAGGACTTCCATCTCGCAAGAGATGTTTGTTCCTACGGCTACTTCCTGCTCGCACCCAATCACTGGGATGTCGACAAACAACACATGCTCCGCGTGCTCGAGTTCGAAGCCGGACCATCATTGTGTGTCATCGATCAGCCGAAAGATCGTGTTCGTGCGCGTTTCGACCGATCGCTGAATCGATCCGAACAATCGAGCGCTAAAAAGCAAATCACGCGGATGCTCTGCTTGGACTCGCCGCACGAAGAGATCAAAGCGTTCCACAAGGTCGATCCACGATGGAAGATATCTGGCGCTGGAAGACTCTTCCGCTCCCCGACGCTCTTTGAGGATGTCATCAAAACCGTCACGAGCTGCAACGTGACCTGGCCGAGCACCGTCAACATGAACCGCCGACTCTGCGAAGTCTGCGGCCGAAAGTCACCCTCCGGAGTCCCGTCCTTCCCGACAGCAAAAAAACTCGCACGCACACGCGTCGGTACGCTCCGTGGACGCTGCCGAGTCGGATACCGCGATCAACGCATCATCGACCTCGCCAAACTCTTCAACAAAGGTCAGATCGACGAGCATTGGCTCGAGAACACCGCGACCGACGACGAGGTCTTCAAGTTCCTCATCTCACTCCCAGGGATCGGTCCATACGCCGCGGGAAACATCATGCAGTTGATGGGGCGCTACTCACGCCTCGCGCTGGACACCGAATCCATCCGACACGCAAAGAGCGTGCTGGGCATGTCGGGAACGGACAACCAACTCATGAAGCGCCTCAAAGCGCACTACGAACCATTCGGGGATCACAAGTTCCGTTCCTACTGGTTCGAGCTCTGGGAGTTCTATCAATCCAAAGCGGGACCCGCGACCACCTGGCGCCGCGACGCGACCGCGACTATGTTTACTTCCGCGAATCTGAGCAAATGAGAGTTGAATAAAAAAACGCCGGCGAATCACGAGGAATCGCCGGCGCATATATGAACTGCGCCATCTCCAGAGTGGCGCAGAGCAGATGCCCCAAAGTCCGTTTCTGTTTATCAGGGATGATGTTCCCTGTGCAAAGGACAACCTACTACAGATTCACTCAATTGCAAAGAGAATTCTTCAAGAATGCGCGTGGTTAAGCGATGCATTGAGACCGCTGAGGTCTTGTAACGCGTGCACTCCCCAGAATCCCGCACGCAGCGCCTCGATCGCATGCACCGCTTGCCCCGCGGCGGTCGCCGTCGTGATCATCGGGATCCCCAATCGCACAGCCGTCGCACGGATGCGTCCCTCATCCGTTTGCCATCCTGTGCGTGTTGGTGTGTTGATGACCAGTTGGATCTCGCCGTTCTGCATGAGGTCGATGACATTGGGACGTGCGCCCGCTTGGATTTTCTGCAAGACTTTCGGACGCAGTCCGTGCCGCGCCAGTTCATCCGCGGTGCCTTGTGTAGTAAACACCGTGAACCCCATCGCCATCAGCGAACGCACGATCGGGATCATCGCGGGTTTATCTTCCTGTCGAACAGACACAAACACGCCGCCGTCTTTGGGGAGTGAAATCCCGGCAGACTCGATCGCCTTGAGATACGCGTTGGGGAGCGACACATCGACACCCATGACTTCGCCCGTCGATCGCATCTCAGGTCCGAGCACAAAGTCCACGCCTGGGAACTTGCGGAACGGGAACACTGGTGCTTTCACTGTGAAGTACCCAGCATCTGGGATCTCTTTCGTTCCTTGCTCGATCAGTGAGACTCCCATCATCGCCTTCGCCGCGACCGATGCCCACGCAACACCCTTGGACTTCCCTGCATACGGCACCGTCCGCGACGCACGCGGATTGACCTCGATGATGTACACCTCGTCGTCCTTGATCGCCATCTGTACATTCATGAGACCGCAGACCTTGAGCTCCTTCGCGAGCTTACGAGCGGTGTCCTTCACTTGCTCAAGTACCACTGGTCGGATCGTCGTCGTCGGGATCATGCAGGTCGAATCCCCAGAGTGCACACCCGCTTGCTCGATGTGCTCCATGACCGCCGCGACGAACGCCTCGCCCGTACCATCTCGGAAGTCCGCGACGACATCGACGTCCAGCTCCGTCGCGCTGCTCAGGAACTGATCGATCAGGATCGGCGCATCATCGAGCCCCGACACATCTACGGCTGTCAGCATGTAGTGCCTCAGCGCCGACTCATCAGAACAGATCTCCATCCCGCGACCACCAAGCACATAACTCGGACGCACAAGCACCGGATACCCGATCCGACCCGCGATCTCGATCGCTTCATCGATCGAACGCGCGATCCCTGATCCAGGACGACGAAGATCCAGCTTGGTCAGCAACTGATCAAACCGGTCACGATCCTCCGCTCGATCAATCGCTTCCAGCGCCGTTCCAAGCATCGGTACACCCGCAAGGTCCAGACCATGCGCCAGATTCAACGGCGTCTGTCCGCCGTATTGAACCACAGTTCCCTTGAGATTCTGCGACAGCTTCTCCGTCACATTGAGCACATCCTCAAGCGTCAACGGCTCAAAGAACAAGAGGTCGCTCGTGTCGTAATCCGTCGAGACTGTCTCAGGATTTGAGTTGATCATCACCGCGTCGTATCCAAGTTGTTGTGCGGATTGTGCCGCGTGGACGCAGCAGTAATCGAACTCGATTCCCTGGCCAATGCGGTTTGGACCGCCGCCGAGGATGATGATCTTTTGTTTCGGATCAATCTCCGCGAGCAACCGATCCCGCAGCTCACATTGCGCAGGGACTTCCTGCACCGACCAATCCTCACCAACCTTGCGAGTTCCTCGCTGATAGGTGGAGTAGTAGTAGGGGGTGATCGCTTCAAACTCAGCAGCGCAGGTGTCCACGCACTTGAACACCGCCTCGACTCCCAGCGACTTGCGATGGTTGCGGACCTTGAGGATCGTCTCCGAACTGATATTTCCGAGATACAGATGCGCCAGCTGCGCATCGGAATATCCGAGTTCTTTCGCTCGCTGCATCAGGTCGCGATCGACATGAGCGAGTTCCTTCGCTTCAACAAGCCGATCCTCGAACTGGACGAGTTCTTGGAACTGATAGAGGAAGAACTTGTCAATCCGCGTGAGTTCATAGATCCGATCGATGCTCCATCCCATCTTCATCGCATAGCGAATGAAGTAGAAACGCCCTTGGGAAGGGACCGACAGCTTGCGCGTCAGTGTGTCTTCATGGATCGGCCATTCAACTTCGCTTCCGTCGGGGAGCTTCCCATCCACCGAGCGTTCAGAAGCGAGCCATTTGTCGTTCTTGTCAAGTCCGAGCCCGAAGCGTTTGACCTCCATCGAGCGGATCACTTTTTGCAGCGACTCTTTGAAGGTGCGTCCGATCGCCATCGCTTCGCCGACCGATTTCATCTGCGTCGTCAGCGTTTCATCCGCTTCCGGGAACTTCTCGAAGGTCCAGCGTGGCATCTTCGTCACGACATAATCAATCGTCGGCTCAAAGCACGCGCTCGTCGTCCCAGTGATGTCGTTGCGGAGCTCATCGAGCGTGTATCCCACCGCGAGCTTCGCCGCGATCTTCGCGATCGGGAATCCCGTCGCTTTCGATGCAAGCGCCGACGAACGCGAGACACGCGGATTCATTTCGATCACCACAAACTCGAACGACGGTTCCGATCCATCCGAGGTCGGCTCCGGATTCGGATTGACCGCAAACTGCACATTCGATCCGCCAGTCTCCACCCCGACCGCACGCATCACCGCCAGCGATGCGTCACGCAGGACCTGGTATTCCTTATCTGTCAGAGTCAGCGACGGCGCGACGGTGACAGAATCCCCAGTGTGCACACCCATCGCGTCGATGTTCTCGATCGAGCACACGACGACGCAGTTGTCCTTCTTGTCGCGCACGACCTCGAGTTCGTATTCCTTCCATCCGATGAGCGACTTGTCGATCTGGATCTGTCCGATCATCGACGCGTTGATGCCACGCGTGACAAGTTCCTCGAACTCGGCGCGGTTGTACGCGATCCCACCTCCCCATCCGCCGAGCGTGAACGCCGGACGCACAATCGCGGGAAGACCGATCTCCTCAGCAAACCCAAGCGCCTCCTGCAGCGACTCAACGGTTTTCGACTCCGGAGTCGCCAGACCGATCTCGTCACAGATGTCGTTGAACACCTGACGATCCTCGGCGCGATGGATGATCTTCCGATCCGCGCCGATCATCTCGATCCCGAACTCTTCAAAGATCCCTTGATCACTCATCTCGCACGCGCAGTTGAGTGCCGTCTGCCCCCCCAGCGTCGGGAGCACCGCATCGATCGGGGTCCCAAGCTCGATTTCCTTCTCGATGATCTTCCGGACCGATTCAGGAGTAATCGGCTCGATGTATGTCCGATCCGCGAACGCGGGATCCGTCATAATCGTCGCTGGATTCGAGTTGACCAGAACAACCCGATACCCCTCGTCTTTCAGCGATTTACACGCCTGTGTCCCTGAATAATCAAACTCACATCCCTGCCCAATGACAATGGGTCCCGATCCGATCAGCAGAATGGTCTGCAGGTCATCGCGTCGCGGCATTCAGTGATTCCTGTGGTTTGGGATTCATGAAGAAGGTCCGGAAATATCAAGCAAGAGGCGCAAACTGGACAAGTGTAGCCCTGAACCTACTCCAAGGTTTGATCAAAGAGATAACGATCATCCGCGTCCGATTCGATGAACCTGAGCCACTGACCCTCGTAAGATCAATCACCGGGCCTGAAGGTTCGATATCCCTGATCCGGTGCACCATTCGCACCCTCTGGAGAAATGCCTATGTGTGGCATCGTTGCTTACATCGGAAACAAACCCGCTCAGCCCCTCCTTATCGAAGG